AGCCCAAGCACGAGCCCAAGCACGGCCCAAGCACGGCCCACTTAACATTTTTTTCTTTCTCAAAAGTCAAAATGCAATAATTTGACATCTAATGTCATTATTTATATGTTTTTTTAATCATAAATATATATTTGATGTATTTCATTTTAGGGAAATTACTTGGGTCCTTAATTAATTAAACATATCAACTACAAATTAATTAAACAATATTGGACTTGATATCTAATCAGTACATATGACATATATGCTTATCTTATAATCAAAGCAAGACATTATTTCACATATAAAATAATAAGTTGTTTAAAGATGAAAAGTTGAAGTGGACTTTGTAGAGTTTAACACTTTTTGCCCTCTGCCATTTTCATATTGTTTGGATGTTTGATTAATTAATGTTTTCAAATAGTTCATCATTTCTTGCCTCTAATTATATTTTTAATGTTTATAATTTGAATTATCTAGTGAAAAAAAAAATGAAGTAAAAAAAATTCAAATTAAATGGATTGGTTCTTGGGCCCGAGTGTGGCACGAGCACGAGCACGGGCACGGCACGAGCCCGGCCCGGCCCGTTTCAATATGGACATGGGCTTTGGGCCGGGCCGGGATCAATAATTTTACTAAATGGGCCGGCACGGCACGGCCCGATAAATTAAATGGGCCGGCCCGGCCCGACATGAAAACGTTAAAAGCACGAGTTTAAATGGGATGGGCCGGCACGGCACGGCCCGTTTGACACCTCTATGAACAGTGGTGCACCCCCATCACACCATAAGACAACCGGTAAACCTTAATCAACCGTTAAACCCCAAGAAAGAACCCAACTAATTTTTGCTTTTCAAATTCATTCTCATTACGCGCCTTCTGCTTTCTCTCCCAGGTACACTCTCTGCAACTATTGTGATTTTCTTTTTCATTACAAATATAATCGACAGAAAATAGTTTTCCTTCAATCTTCTGTGGCTCTTGTTGTGTTTCTCCCTATATGAATTTTACAGACCACATAAAAATTGGGTATGTTAGGGTTTCTTTGGATGAGATTGAATTGCTATCTTCAAGTTTCTTAAGGATGGAATGAACCCTTCTTTTTCTTTTGTGTGCCCTCTTGGTGTGTGATTAGATTCGTCTAAAGAATATGAACGGAAAGGCGATGAACCAAAAAGGGGAAAATTTTGAACCCAATCCTATATCTTTATGTACGGATAATCCAGATGGAAAGATTTATGAGAAGAAGAAGAAGAAGAAATGGAATAAGAAGAAAGGGAAGTTAGCTAAGAAGTCTGATCTCCCATGTGATGGTGACAAGAAACTTCCCATCTGCTCCCGTGATGGGTTTCCTGATCATACCCAGAACTGTTCATCAGTTGGTATTCAGAATTCTAATAACTGTTCAAAGATGAGCAACCATGGGTCTGATGAATTAAGAAATGATAGTTTTCTTGAGGATCTTCAGGCCAGCCAACCCTCTGCTGTACTTCAATGCAGCAAGGTCGAACTTGAAGATTCTAATGGCAGTGTTTGTGAAGATAACAAGACTGGTAGTGGCAGATCCTGCGCCCACGATGGAAAAGAAAATAAATTTTTTGTAAAGAAGTGGCAGAAGAGGCAGCGTACTGCTAGGGATCAACAAAGGCACTGGGTCAAGGAACAACCAAGTTACAGATATCCAGCTGTAGAGAATAGTGTCTGGGTTGAACATGGTAATAGTTTGGAAGCTAATGCATTGGTTTTTTCTGGACACAACAGTGGTGATTATAGGAGAATGCCCCGGAGAGTATTGGGTGAAGCACCACAATGGGTTGCTTCTCAACAGAGGTTGAATTGCAATGGGAAAAAAGGACTTGGAAATTGTAGAGCAAACTTCTTTGGGTTGCATGATAAGTTTGTTTCATATCAAAAGGAATTTTCACAGGTTCCTTTTGGCATGCACTATTACAAGAATAGAGATACAGCCAAAAGAATGTTTTACAATGATCATCATGTTGCAAGTCATGGATATAAACTCTGTTTGAACTCATCCTTTGTGTATTCTAAAATATCTACTCAAAGTGTGATAAATGGCAGTCAACCGCATAAATTCATGAAGATTCCAATCATGGAACATAATTCGGGTAGGTGTTTATATTCTCCTTTGGATGGTAGACAATACTCAGAGTTTGGATATCATAGTGATCATAAGTTTAGGAAAGATGTTACTACTGGAGCAAGTTCTAAGAAGTGGAAACCTGTTGGTACAAAAGAGTCCAGGCCAACGGAGGGGATTTGCTCTGCTGCTACTTGCAATGCTTCAAATCTTGACCTACCAGTTTTAAGCAAGGGGTTGGGTAATATCCATCCAGAGGAAAGTTCAATTCCTTCTCCTTCATCTGATACATTTTCTGAAACTAAAGGCACAAACTCAATATCTAGCCATCAATTGCCTTCTTCTTATTATGAGCACCCAACATTTCATAAGTCCACTGCAGAAGTAGAAGATCAGAAAATTGAAAGTAATGGTTATGAAGCAAATGGTATAAGACCAAAGGACACCATTGAGTTCCTAATTGGTTCACAAATGGCAGTGGAAGCTCTAAATGCTTCTTACAGAATGCAATTAGCATCTGAGGTTGTTCACCTTACAATGGGGTGTCCACTTGCAGAGTTTGAAAGATTCATCCACTGCGCTGCTCCTGTTATTGCTTCTTCATACGAACATAAAAAATGTTCTGTTTGTTTGGACGATCAGCTGTCTCATAGTTTCCTATGCAAGCACCAGATACCAAACTTATCACTTCGCACTGTTTGGAACTGGTATGAGAAACCAGGGAATTATGGATTGGATGTGAAGGCAGATGATTCTAGAAACCTCAATGATTCAGTGTCATTCCATGCCCACTTTGCTCCTTCCCTTTCTGCTGTTCAACTGTTTCGGTCCAACGACCCTGGTTCCAAAACATTAAATTCCACATCTTCTGCAGAAGCAGCAGAGCTGAACTATCTTCAGGCAGGGACAGAGAACTTTGATTCGGTCAAGGAGCCTGTTGGTTCTTTTGATTGGTCACCTGATTGTAAGCTCATATTTGAATTTTTTGAATCTGAGCAGCCACATCAGCGAAAGCCTTTCTACAATAAGTATGTTCTTGCAACTCTTATGACAAGATATGTTGTCTTTTTTTCTTATATTGTTCTATTCATCTTGCAGACAGTAATCAAAATTGGATTGATGCTAACGACATTCATTTACTTCTCTAGCTTTTCACTTTCTGTCTACACTTATGTCAATTTACTCTGGAACCTTGTTATTGACCTGAGACTGAGGGAGACTATATCACAACTTCCAAGTAGATATATAGAAATGGGATTCCTTTTACATTAAAAGTATAAAATAATTATGCAATATGATTGATCTATATTTGAAACAACAAAGAAGAAAGAGTTCCTTAGGCTGTGAGAAATGACCTGATAACCTATAATTTGGTCAAGATTAGAAGCTTGGCAATGAAGTATGCACACAAAGAACTCCAAATGTGTTGGATTTAGTACACTTTTGAGTGCTGATTTAATTTCATGTTTGAAATTCTGTATATTCCCCACTTCTCTTAATTTGTATGTTAATCTTTTTTTCTTTTTCTTTTTTGAGATAAAATGTCCAGGTTATTTATACCTGATTTCCTAATTGACTGCAGAATTGTGGAGCTAATTGGTGTTGGAACTTCTAATCATCACATATTTGGTGACCCATCAAAACTAGATTGTCTGAATTTGCATGATTTACATCCTGCCTCTTGGTGAGAATCAATTTTTCTAACTCATATTTCTGTTTTGATGACTAATTTGAGCATTTGAAGAAAGTTGGGTTAATGTGGATTTCAGGTTTTCGGTGGCCTGGTATCCTATATATCGAATTCCAGAACGAAACTTCCGTGCATCATTCTTGACCTACCACTCACTTGGACATTTTGCACAGAGACCTTTTCCAACTGATGCTTCCAATGAACACACAAGTCGGATTCTCTCCCCTGTGTTAGGATTGCAAAGCTACAACGCACGGGTAAGAAATCGACACTCTTTATCTTTAATGTTCTGTATTTTTTTCAGTATCACTTTAATAAGTGAGAGTGATGAGCAACATGATACGGTGAACAGTACATAAAGCTATGCTCCGTGACAGTTTGGAAGTGTGGCAACCCTATAGGATGGTTAGCTGTGACAATAATTTTAAGAGTTTTGCCATATTACTGGGATATTTAGAAATTTACAATCAAGTCTGAGCAAGTCCTAGTATGAGGCCTAGCAGTTACAGAATAAATAAGTTTTCATGCCTGGTCTCTTCACTCTTGCATTAAAAAAATTGAGTTAGGGACCCAAAGTAGACTATACTTCAGAACTCAACTGCTTTTTTTTCAGCATCAAAGCCAATATGTAGAACTTTCTTGCTGTAATCCTTTGAAGAATGATAATTGTGAGAGATTTTCACTTAGGAAAACTTATTTGGTATTGACACAATTTGTCACAATATATATATATTTATTTATTTATTTATTTTTTCTGTTGTAGGGTGAAGGCTGGTTTGATCCCAAAATACCTACAGCTTCCAACAGTGCAGAAATTCTCAAAGAAAGGCTCAGAACATTGGAGGCCAATGCAATACGTTTTGGCAGAGGTTGCGTTTTCAAGGATAAAGTCATGGTGTTCAACAGGCATCCAGATTATGAGTTCTTCAATTCTCGAAAAACACATTATAAATAGTTACATACAAATAAGACCATTTTTTCTTACTGGCTTTTGTGAATTTGGGTTTGCCCCCATTGTAAAGGGTAAAACATAGGGTAAAAGGAGAAGGAACATTGTACTCCTCAGTACTTCGGTCTTAATTTTGTAGATAACAGGAAAACTTTCTGTAGCTATTGAAATTGATTAGCTATGTTCCTTTTATCATCTTTATTCATATAGTTCCATATAAAGTGTCCAAGTGCCACGGGAGGACTTATCTCCATGGCCTACTTTTTATACCAAGTTTTAACTAAATCTCAAGAAACATGTGAAATCCACGGCTGCAAAAGTATAGTTGGATGTCTTTCCATATCAGTATTGTCATTGTGCCCTCTTTTTGTGGTTTGTAGTTAGGGAGATTCTCCAATAAGTATTTAAGTTAAGAATTGGTTTTATATTTCTAATCTCGGTTGTTGGATTGTATTCATTAGACGATTGGATTCCAGTCATCTCTTACGACTTGTATTGGTGGCGGTCTAGGGTTAAGAAAACTGCCAGACGGCAGAGACAGAGAGTATATATGTGATTTTGGGGTTTTCTTTTAAGTGAATGGCCTAACCCTTTTCTCCAGCTTTTGCAATAAACATGATAAAGCACAGCACTCTGTCCCTTTCTTTCTGATCTTCCTTTTACATGTAGGGATAGAAATCCTTAAATAATCCCTGCCTTGCCACTTGATCTTTTATTAATTAAAGTACAGAAAAAGACCAAAAGACAATCTTTTTTCTTGTAATTTTGGTTTAATTCAGGAAAGAAGGCAAGTGCAGAAACTTGAAAGCTCAAACATTGCCTTGCACCCTACCGTCCAAAACTTTTACCTTGTTGATAGTTTTTTACTTTAACAATCACAGGTAACGATTACTTCAACTACCAGTAATCCACGTGGCAGACACCCATTGAATTATATAGACACCAAGCCTCCAAAATCCAACCATCTTTCTGGATCTTGGTAGGGTTAGTAAAGAATCGTTTGCCACCCTTAAATGCTATTAAAATTCGAGATCTTTCGATATTATTGATGAGATCAGTTGCGTGGTTTAAGTCCGGGCCTGGCTATAAAGCCTAGAGGAGGAGATAGAAATGTACATGTACATGTACATGTATAGGTAAAGTTAAAATTACCTAAATATTTCAAGGTAATTAAGACAAACTGGAGAAAACAGTAAAACAAGGACATGTAATTAACCATGTGTTAAATGCTGCCGAAGGTGCCTAAGTTCTGCTAAGCGCCAACCAAATAAACAAAAACAGAGAGTGCATTGATATCTAAACTCTGCTTGATTCTTCCTGGGAGGGAGATGCCTTGGAACCTCCTCAATAAACAATGGTGAGAAATTAGAAAAGGATATTTAATTTTTCAAAAAAGGCACATCAACATCATTTGCAGTTTATGTACCAGTTCTTATAAGATTTTACTGCTCAAATCATCATTGTCAAAACGACCACTAACATGATGAACATCGTTTGATGGTGAGCCAAATCTTATATGCAGCAGAAAAACCCTTGTGAAACGGTAATAACACTATTTTCTTATTCTTGGCCAATTATGGTATATCACGCGTGATAACTTTTTCGTTTGGCATATCGTAATTGCCCGAGATTAACAAAATAGTGTTATTCATGTTACACACAAATGTTTCTCTGTATGCAAAGGATGATGATTCTCAAATTTGCCTAAACAATGATCCCAGATTGATACTATATATAGAAATACACAATCAACCACAAAATGGCCACTCGCAATTTTCTGTGGCATGGCTAGTATAATACATTGTTAACTACATAAAACATGAGAAACCGACAAAACAGAGAAGTAAATGTAGATACAGAATGTTCTGTTTTTTTTTCCTTCCTCTATTTTGCCACAAGGCACCTACACAATAAACTCGCTGCTGCTGTCCTTTCCAAGCAGAGAAGCAAAAGCAAACACGAAACAGAGAATTTTCACGTCAAAAATTTAATGCCCTCTGTTTTCTCTGTGGCTGTGGTGGTTCTTCCTTTCAATCAACCCTTCCATTATGACCTTCTTGTTGTTGTCTCTGCACTCTGCCTCCGACCACTTTCTCACGTTTTCCGGCTTCACATTACTTGCATTATAACGCCCTGGAAAAAAGTAGAGCCAAGTTGATGCGACAAGGATTGCAAAGACCCTGCCCCAAAACACCGTGATCGCAAGGCTTATGAGAAGAAAATATACCCCAGAGTTGAAATCAGAGGAACTCATTTGCGTGTTCCTTGATTTCACTGCAGGGTCTTGTTGGTTTTTTTTGCTCTGTTTCGTTGAGTGTGATAAATTTTTGGGCAATCTTTTGGATTCTGAAATCGAACTTGAACGTGATATTGATGATGGTGATAATGAACTAGGAGAAGAAGAATGCAACGTCTCCAAATTGGGTTTGGTTTCTTCAACCTTCATCAATTCATCGCTGCCCAAATTCAGAGGTGCTTCACTTTTCACCGAAAAACTTTTTGATCCAAACGAGTCTCGCCTGTAACCTTTTCGATCACGAGCTCTCTTGGCCTGTAAAAATAACGAATATAAATATAAAAAACTTCGTTATAAATCAGAAACAAAACCAACCCAGATATCCATATCTGTCAAAGATTGAGGCTTTAAGATCACTGACCAGAATTGTTTCAAACACAACGGCTTTGATCGCCCGAGAAAACGTTCGGTTTGGAGGAGGAGGCATTTTCGTGTTCTCTGACTTGACAGAGCACCCTCTGTCCAAAGACATGGTTTTAGTCGACAAAGAGTTCTTGTTCTTGTTCTCCTTCTTCTCAACAATCCTTACACCTTTCGACTCGAGCACCATGTCCATGTCCACGACCGGTCGGAAACAGTGCAGAAACTTGGGTTTTGGTTTTGGAACGTTTTTCATTATGTCTGCAAAACTTAAAAGGAAAAAACGGGCTTCGTGTTAAGACACTAATTAATGGGGTTTGAAGGTTACATATGATGGATATGGTAAGTGTGTTATTAAATGTTTGGTCAAAACGAGGAAAGAGCAAGAAAAGAAACAGACACACTCTTCTTCTTCTGTGTTTATTTTGGTGTTTTGGGTGTTCAAGGCCGGCATGGTTTCCTGTTTTTCACTTACAAAACAACAAGTGCTCGGTTGGAAGTCCGGATTATGGGAGTTATATACGAGGGGGGATCTTTTATGCTTATCTTGTTTTCTCTCTCCTGTCCAAATTGAAACATCTGGAGTTCATTTATCAAACACTGTTGCTAAAGTCATCCAAAAAAGTTCAAACTTTTTAGTCGTGTAATGATTTTATAAGCTACATAGCGATCCAAGATTTTAAAGTTTTGTTTTGGTGCTTTTAGTTGGTTTCTTATGGCTATAGGTAATTACGCAACACGATTATGTCTTCATTCAAAGATCATTTTTGTAAAAAAATTAGCACAATTCCCGAGACATTTAATTGTGATCAACAAAACTGACAATTCTGGTAATTCAAGAAAACATAATTTTTTATAGAGATAATATTTGAATGAATACTTTAAAAATAAAAAATTCGGATTATGAAAATACAATATGAATAGGCTCCACAAAGACATTCATCAAATAAACTTATTTGAGGATTCCTCAACTGAAAGCTTTATTGGTAAGAATTTTTTTTGCACGAGATAGGTTTAGGGTTATAATTCCTATTTGTTTTTGTTGTGAAGTGGATTAATGGGTTATAATGAGTTAGTTGATGTGGTTGAGATTTGAGGCCTTGAGAGATAGTGGGATGCAATCGCCGTCCATTAAATTCGAATGCTAACTTTTTCCACGAGTTCATTAGGTGGGGCAAATTAATGCGAGTTTGACAAGTTTCATTGTCTTTGAACACTAGTAGAATCCATGAATGTGCAATTAAGAATTATTGAATAAATTTTCTAGTCTCGACATTGATCTTGACATTGTATGAATCATTTTGCTTATTTAGAAAACATCGAACCCCTTCATTGAATTAATCTTTAAATAATTTTCCTTTTTATTTTTGAAAATGCTTGGTCCTTATATGACTATGTCTGAATATGAATCTGTAGGTTGTGATTTGACCCAAAAAAGAAAACAAACAAAATTTGGGTTGGCGTGTGGCATATGTCACAAGACAAAGGAAAGCTACAAGAACAACAACAACAGCTAAAGGACATGCCAATATTTTCATACTTTTTTGTCTTCGTATTTCAATTGGTGCAGACTACTTCTATATTGAGAATCTACAAGTATACGTAAATGGGAAAAGTTGGACATAATGCACCTGTATCAAATGTCTTGTATATTACGGTAAGTTTTTGTAGGAGTAGATTAGGTACAAGCATGATTTTTACAAGTTTGGTGAGTACGTGAGCATCAATAGATTCAAAGGGACAATGAATAAATATTCATAATGCATATTTTACGCACATCAAAAGATCCGACGAAGTAAACTCAGCTTGTGAAAAACACCTCTGGGAGAGCTTTACCATAAACAATCCTAGCTTGGAGTGGTTGCACACTTTGCCACCATTTTCTTCGTCTCAAAAAAAAAAAAAAAAAAAATCCAACGAGTCAAAGGAGTCTCGCTTAGTGAAAAATGATCTTAACGATTTGAACTCCCTAACATCCATGATAGTGTGTGTGAGAAATTCCACACCCTTTCCTGTTGTAGTTTAGAGATCGCTTGTATTCAAAAAATGATCTGACGAGGATATTTGTTGTAAACTTGCTTTTGTTTTTTTATATTAAAAAAAGAAAAAATAAATCATGAACTTGGTGAAACATCTCTGATTTGATGATAAATTAACTAAGTTGGGGTTTGGGTTTGAAGTTCTAACTCAATCAAAATTAAGTTTGGGTTGAGACCAAAGGCCCCAAAAACAAAGGAAACAAACCCATGAAAGATCCTTGGGGATGAAGGGTGTAGAAATATCATCCTATGGATTTTGGATCCCAGAGGCCATACAAGCATTTCTTGACCCAACCCAACTGACTAGAAAATTATGTTAATGGGATTTTATGGATAGAAAAATAATCCAAGTACAAAATGCTCTCTTTGACCCACAATAGAAAAATAGAAAGAAACACAAAACACTTATGTTTTTTTTTTAAAATAAAAAAGGACTTGGTTCAAAACTAGACTCCAGCAGCATTGACTAGGGTTCATAAGAATTTAAACAGTTGGGATGAACTTCCCCAGAAACGCGCACAATATCAATATTATATAATAAAACGAGTGAGTTTAATTAAGCACATTAAAATCTTGCAGCTCTCAAATTACTGAAGTCGTTTTTTTTAATTAAAAAAAAAATCAAGTATTTCAGTCAAGTCTGATCATCTGCGGAATTCCTCTGGGGAAAAAATAACTTAAAGCTTGACTGTGACTTAGTCCAATAACAAAAGAAAACAATAAATAAATAAACGAACCAACTTGGTATTTTGGGGTTGAACTTGCTCCAAGCTTTAAATACCAAAAGGGAAAAAGATCTCTCTGGAGAAAATGGTTTGGTAGCAGCAGATGCAATCATGTAATGTATGAGGTAGGAGACGAAGTCTCTGCTTCGTAGGTGAGTCTTACACACAAACATACACATGTAGTATTAATTTAATTTTTACAAAGATGCTAGGGCTAATTTATTGGGAAAATCTCAACATCAGCCTTCTATTTAGATGTTAAATTTCCCTTCTTTTTTTTTTTTTTTGTGGCTTGGAAATTTTGCTTTGTTTCAGAAAATTAACTTGACATCTCAGATTAATTAGACTTTGACTATATGAATGGTATTGGCACATGGTGGGCCCTAAAATTTTGGAGACCATAGTCGAACGAAAAAAATGTGACTCTCGACCGTCCATGATATCGTAATAGGCGGTCATCTTGCTTGCATACGCCAAGTGTTTTTTTTTTTTTTAGCAACATAAAATATATATGTTGTTGGACTTTGAATTTGAACTATTCCATTAGCAACGCGTACGTGTGTGGGAATTTAAGTACACAACGTTATACAATTTAACTTTTATTCCTTACCTTCAAAGAAGCTGCCAAGTTGATGTAGATAAATATATATATATCTATGTGAACAGAACAACAAAATAAGTTGTGTTTGTTAATAAAGGTTTAGGTGTATTGGGTAGCGACGACGATACTGTCAGGATCAAATGGGAAGGGGACAGAGTGAGAACATGAGAAGTGAGAAACAAACAAAGAGTGCTCAACAATCTTGAGAGCACATGAAAACTTGACTTTGAATTCAAAGTCAACACACTTTCTATCTTCTTACATGGAATTAGGAAAGTAAACGAGGCAAATATGCTTTATATCTTGTATACATGCATGAAATTCAAGCCTGATGACTCACGACTGCCACGTAATGTGGGCCTGCCTAGTTCTAGAAAGCGAGTTAAAGAGACGACACCATTAAAAATTTACTCAATACATACAAAAACAATCGACTAGGCTCCTTGAATTCTTGTCTCCACAAAAAGAAAACGACAACATGCTTCAGGTCGTACTTGTTATGAACTTGTTTTTTTGTGTTAGTATTTTTCCATAAGATAAAACTCTAAAAATATTGAAAATAAACGCTCTTTAGTACTTAGAAAAGTCTCGAAAGATAGAGGCTAGTATTCGGACATCCTTCTCTCTCTCTCTCTCTTTTGCTCTCCTTTAATTTGTACGAAATGAAAAAAATTTCGAAGATTAGTGATTCTCTCTATATCATTTCAGTTTTTTGGCTAGTTCATGTATGTCATATTAGTATTGGGATGGATCCATTTATAGTATGTCTCCTAGGTATGCCTTTTTTCTACTGATATGATAAAATTTTATCGTCTTGGTTCTACCTTTTAAGGTAAGTATAAATTTAAAATGCATCACAGCCGTGGAGAGGCAAAATTAGATACACATGTCCATCTTTTTTTATATCCTTTGTAGGCCGGACCCATAGGAGAAAAAGGGAAAGATAATGTTGGAATCACTCTTCAGACGCCATACAAAATTATGTTGAGGCCCCGCTTGATGTCAGCACACCAAGTGGTGCATTGCAATTCCCAACAGCTCTATGATGAATGGGTGAGATGGATTGGAATTCAAAATGGAAGGCCCAGATTTCATGCAATTTGCATTGCACTTCAAATATTAGGAAAAAAATACCTTAAAATGTTTAAAATAAATTATAAATTTATACCTAGATATTTTTATGTTAGTTTGTAGGTAAAATCATATGTTCTTCAAATTTAAATTTTTTTAGGTCCATTTATTTGGAAAAATAAAATAAATCTAACACATACAAAATTAATTTTAAAAAGTAAAAGCACAAAAAAAAAAAAAAAAAAATACATACATCGTTTCCTATTAGAGCAAAAAACATATTTACACCCTCCGGAAGTGTAAAGAGAATGTAAAAGTGGCTTTACACCTCCGAAAATACACACTCCAACTGATGATGCTCTTAGATATTTCAAAAAATGAAATATTATTGCCATATTTGGATTTAAAGTCATTGAAATTGTTTTGAAGTTTACAATAAAGTTGAATATGCTTGAATATGCTTGACCAACTTTAAACATGGAGAATTTCTCTGACCGTTCGTAAAAGGTTTCATAGGAAGGTGGGACAACATTCTCAACAGGAGTCTTAGGTACAAATTAATTAATTGTACTAAAAATCAATTAAGAAAATAATTAAGAGGACCTCATCTCATCATCTTAATTAATCTCCTACATTTCTCGAGACCTTAATTACGAGTGAGGAGTTTCGACCAAAAGAAAATTACGAGTGAGGACCACATAAGTATATGTAATTAAAAAAAGGGGGTCCCACTCCCTGTAATTAGTCCTAGTCGTCCCACAATATAAAGAGGAAAGCTTGGTGTTGGTTCCATCTCATTTCTTGAGAGAGAAAGGTTCTTCAATGACCTTCAAGTATGCGTATGCGGAGTGGACCCAAACGTGATTCAAACCCCACGTACGAACAGGAAAACAAATCCATTTCACATGTGGTGTGAAACCTCTTACTAGTACTAAGTTGCTTCCATCTTCAAGCTACTACTAATTAAATCTCTGTCCTTATTGCCACATACATGTTGCGTATACTTTAATACTAAGTTGCTTCCATCGTCAAGAAATGTTG